GAACCTTCTTGTTTACAACTCACGGCCCTTAAAGCTCCACATTTATATTTCTGTGGGAAATTTTTTTATTGAGATTATGTCTTTACGTTCAGTAGGTGGGATTTCACACCGAATAATTTTGTATGAATGTCTCTACAATATTCATTTTCGTCACTGCTTCGATGCCAAAATGAACACGTTATCAAAATGATATATCAAACTGTGTTTCTGACACGTTGGTGTTATAACTGTGTGAGAGCAGGTTGAAAACTGTTGACGTTCAGACCTTATTCACATCTGTTTTCAAGCAAAGATCAAAGTTGAAATCCCGGCTGGTGCTCACTGGGTGGTCTCAATCGATAGTTTCTAGTCTTCGACTCTGCATAATGTTACCTCGTGAGTCATGGTTCCATTTACAATCATATAAAAAATAAAGCAGCCGATGCTTCAAGCTTGGCTGCCCGGTAGAGATTGTTTTCAGTCACTGTGTTTTGTCAATACACAAGCTTTCAACTCTTGGCCTCAGAATGGAGTCCTGAAAACTATGGGCGAAGTCTCACTGTCCATATGTCCACATTTATGTACTTTGCCTACAAAGCAAAAGAAGACACACACACACACACACACACACACACAGTCAGAGACTTTCTGATGACGTAGTGGAGCAGTTAGCAGCTAAAGGGAAAGATATCTGCAGGTGACGCTGGTGGAGTCAGAGATGAAAAGGAAGAGCATGTTTGGATCACATTCATTAGCTGGACAAAAGCACGACTTAATACTAAAACTGGTCTGCGCCTGCTGGTTGTGCACAAAGTCAAATGTTTACTTTAAGTTAGCTGCTGAATTGAAGGCTTTCAACATGACTCATCAAAGAAATGATGGCGTTTATAAAAGTCATTTGTGGTTTCAGATCAGATAAAGGACAATAACACAACACAATAAACATACTGAAGACACCTTGACTTTGAAGAGTCACGCCTGATATGTCTCACTCTGACGTCATTTTAAGAGTTTGGATCAGACAACACACTAACTGGCTTAATTCTGTGTTTGGTGTTGTTTGAAAGATAGCTGATCGCAACGCTGATGGAAATACTGACAAGTCAGAATCTAGTCCACTTCTCTCAACATGCCCTATGATGCATCAGGTAGTGGGGTCATTGACATTCATTTTCCTGTCTTACATTGTCACGTTCCAACGCCAACGCCTTGCAGTTCATGATAGGACACGACATGTTCATGTATTGTTTGCTGATCTTGGCTTTAACTTGCTGTTATCTCCTGTGTCACTGAGTGTATCTGTGCTGCGGCCGTCACTAAGAATGCAGCTTGGATGTGTTACTTAAATTGAATTAGTCTTTTTTTATTAGACAGTTCCAGGTGGAGAAAAGAAAGATATACCAGCTTCAAACAAACTCAAACAAATGCACAAGTAAAATAACTTCTGTCCACATTTTTTTTTTTTATCTTTTCTTGGACAATGTATTTTAAGTTTATATTTGTGTACCTCTACCACCCTTAGGTCCTGCTGCACCTGCATCTCTTACCCCGCCCATCAACAAATTCTCGCAATCGGAGCAGAGGACACCTGTGGCAAGACTGGTGAGTCTTTTCTGGAGTGGAAGAACAGAATGATTTGCTCTGAGTATCAGGAATCAGACACTTGTTCTGTCTTAACTTCACTCTGACAGCAACTTCTAATAAATAAAGAATAAAGAACCATATTTTTCAGGGTATACTGAACAGAAAGTAAAGATGACACTCATTAAATATACCAGAACCCTGGAGCTAGCGCCCCTAAATGGAATGTGGTCATTTGTAATCTTGTCATTTCTCCTCCTACATAAGATCATTTATTTACTAAGGCTCTGCAAGAGTGTAATAATTTAACACAATTTTTTCACATAACATATTGTAACCCCTTGTCCTTGTCCCCTTGTTCGCAGATTCAGAGTGTCTGCAGAGAGCAGTGGAGGGGAAGGCGGCCTCGGATGAAGAGGAGGAGGACGGAGGAACGAGGGAGGACGGAGAGCGCATCCTGAAAGAGACGAAGAACATCAGCCGACAGCACGACTGTGACAAAGGGTTAGTCGACATCGTGCACCTGCAGACGCCAACTTGTTTAGATGTTTTAACCCCAAAAACTGATGAGAGACATTTTTGTTATTCCTCTAGATGTCACAAGAACAATATGGCCCACCCGCGTTCCTCCCAAACTCACCTCATGATAGACATCTAAGCACTTTGAAGGACAGCAGGGGGCGCTGCGACTGGAAGGGACAACACCAAGAGCAGCCAGAAGGGGGCAGATGTTTTGACAAAGACAAGGTAAGAGAAAAAGATGGACTTGGATACGCCTGTGATTCATTTCAGTCGGATGAATCAAAATTGAATCCAGAGAAACACATTGAATTTTATTTCTAAGCACATTCAAACACACCTTGAGAAACTTTCTCCTATTGTCTTATCAGATTGAAATAAACTTATTTGACAGCTTTTTGCTTTCATTCATTTCTCCTCTTGTTTTTTGCAGAAGTCTGCAGAAGAGGAGGAGGAGACCAGGCTGGAGGAGGAGAAAGAAAAGACACGTCTGTCTTTACTAGAGGATAAACTCACAGATGCCCTCACAATGCTGCTGCAGCTACGCAACAAGGTTCACCAAAAACAAACTCTCTCACCATGCACCTCACACAAACACACACACACACACACACACACACACACACACTTACAACTCGTCAGTGCCATCTAGTGTTCAATCTTCTCCCAGACATGCTTTGTGCAATTCCACAGGTTATGGATTAGTCTTGCAGGGAGGCACAATCTGCATTATTAGTCGTAGTTTTTATTTATAGAAGGTTTATTTTTCAAACAACTGAGGGGTATGAACTTATATCTATTATGTTGTATTCTTTCTTAATGCTTCTTTACATTGTATAGATGATGACAGATGTTGGTCTTTTTTTCTTCTCCTTTTTTTCTTTTTTACCTTTTAGAAACCTTTGGTTTGTTTTTGTGCTTATGATTGCAGTGTCTGTCGTTATGTGCATGAAAATCATCCGTTTATTGCTTCCTTTCCAGAACGTGTCCCGCAGAGCCCTGGGGAAGATCGTGACGGACACTCTGGATGTCTGCAGCAGGAGTCGAGAGGGTACGTCTAATTCACATCTTCTAGTTGTCCATGTATTCATGTTGAAGTGTTGCTTGTTGCTTAAACTTTTTTTTTTTTTTTTTTTACATCATCTCCACCTGCAGGTCCCTCTCAGATCTTGCAGGTAGCCGATGCCCTCTGTGTGCGCCTGTCGTCCAGGGATCTCTTTGGAAACGGAGCAGACTCTGAAGCGGGAGAGAGCAGAGAGAAACTGCTGGTTTCGTCTTCAGGGTGTCAAAGCAGCAGCGTTAACTCTCTACTCATCTCCTGTTAAATCACCTACTGCTGTCTTTCCTGTGTTCAATCTTTGTCTTATTTGCACCCACACGTTTTATAAGTAGCCTATGTACATCCCAGATTTTTTAAACAGTTCTATCTATTTAAAGATTAATTTTATATCCTTGATTCAATCTTTTGTGAATGTACTATCTATTTAAATTTAACCATTAAAGATTTTTAAAATCCAAACTGCTCGCTGTCTAAGAGTTGACAAAGAAAGCTCTGATTACATCATTTTGCATCCTTCTCACACAGACTCTTAGATTAACGGACGACTGACTTTAGCACAAAAAAAAACCATGATCCATCCTAGTTTAAAGCAACAGTGACCACATTTTAGTTTACGCCTAAATACTCACATTTACCCCTAAAAGCAATACATTTGATCTATTGTTGCTTCAGTAAAACGTCACCTGTTTCAAAACGTAAACCTCTTCTACAAATGATATGAGCCTGTTTTTGTGGTAATGATACCGACCTAAATGTGCCCACTGAACTTAACTGTAAGGCCAGTAATGTCACAGCCAGTATAGCCAATCCAGAAGCAGGAAGGATGCCAGAAAAGAGAGAAGAAGAAAAGGAGGGAGCTGGCGCCGACTTTTGACCCAACAATATTTTACTTGAACAAACTTGTTTCGGTCTGCTCCAAAAGGCTGTTGGGAGCCAGGCATATGGAACTAATGTTAGCTAGGAGGCTAGTGCTAACAGTAGCCTACTGACTGAATGTGCATACGTTGAGTTAAATCGTGTCTGGAAGGGCCCATTCACAGGGCCTTTCAGGGGCCCAGCCATTTCAGTGAGCAGGCCTGTTATTATATTATATTAAAATCCACCTAAAACGGAGATTTCTGACATTCTTTTTCTAATATGCTGAATGAGAACATCTTCAATGTGTGTGAGATGAAGTGAAATAATGACCTTGAGTATTTGAATATATTTCTTAGGTTATATGTGGCCCTTGACCTTCAGTAGGCCCTGTAATAAAATGATTAGCCTGGTTGCTCTCTCTGCTGTCGCTTTTCACCCTTCTACAGTCCTGAAAACGTGACGTCATCTCAGACTGTGGGCCTGCATACCTTACACAATGCATCCTGAAGAAGACCTAGTCCGGAGGGAAAAGGTCATGAAGAAAGTCCCCATTTTCTACCAATCCCGAACGGACGTGAATCCAGCGCTGCTTTTAAGGGATGCGGGAATAATTGGATTTTTGAGTTGCCCTGTGCTGTGAGCGATCAACGCGCTCAGAAAAATGTGCTCAACAGCAAATTCATTAGACTTTTAGTTGCCTGTTAGGCTTCATATTTAAGATGCTGTCAGCCGATTGAATCAGCTGTGTGTGCACATAAAAATGACTAGGACTTTTAATATTTGATTAAGCCTATTTTTCTATCAAATCCAGTTCGGAGACTGATTTCGTAGAATCCTCCTGCATATTTACAATTTGTCTGACGCACAGCAGAGTGATAAAAGATGTAACCCTAGTATGTCTCCTGTTTTTAAATAGCCTAATACAAACTGTAAGGACGAATCAGCCCTTGATGGGGTTTACGAGCAGCACTTGAAGGTGGCATGATGCTGCGCGCGTAATGGATTTCCCCAGCACTGCTTATTGGGGTCCAGGAGCTGCAGCTGCAGCGGTCCAGCCACATTACATCTTCTCCACCACTTGATGCCGGTGACCTTGGCTGGCTGACGGAGATTACCTCTCTCTCAGCCTCGCATTGGGCTTTTTCCGCTCACAATGGCATCTTCAGACGGGCTGGATGAGGATTGCGTTTTGCAGCGGGGGAGATCTCAGAGTGACCCGAGCAGCATCACCGAGGTCCGCTTGGGTGAAGCGCACAGAGCAGGTAAGATGAGAGGAGAGGGGGGGGGGACCTTAACGCAAGCTGGACATCTCTACCTGTTTGGAACTGCTGTTCGCTTTTGGCTGGTGGTTTCAAAAGGGGAACACCACGTCGCGATGTCGGGGTTCGCCTGCAGCCCCATCTCATCCGCGGTCATCATCTGAATCTGGATGCAATAAACGCAGGTCGTTCTGTAGACGTGCGTCATATAGCCTCCTACTATCCCTACATGTTCCCAAAATACTGAGCTGTGCTGCAGGCCTCTCATATGAAATTGCTCCCCATAATGTCCTTCACAACAACATCAGGTATAGCCTACATCTGTGTCATGCAGCAGCAGCAGCAGCAGCAGCAGCAGCAGCAGCAGCGTGAGATGTTGGCCAACTGATGTCTTGCCCTCGTAGAATCCTTTTGGCGGTTGTCCTACATTCATTTCTTGACAGTAATGGGATGCATTGACTGGCTGATTTTGGTTAGTTTGAGGCCTATATGCCCACAAGGAACCGTTGTCTATATTACCACCTGTCACCCCAACCACTGCCTGCCTTGCTCACTGCATCTATCACAGACATTGCTGCATGTGAATGACATGGAAAGAAAAGGCTTTAATGGAAGCTTTGGAGACATGGGAATCTGCTCCATTGGCAATAAAAGCTCAACAGCTTCATTCAGTAGTGGGCCTAACATATTTTGCGTCGCCTTCTTGTTGGATGTAGCCTATCGTAGCATAACCTCTGTGGCCTATATAACCTGTCAGCACACCTTCACACATTGCCATTACTAGAGTAAGAGAGGGGGAGTAATAATAGCCAAGTACAGGCTTTTAACACTTACCTTAATATCTGTTTGCAAGACTCCACTAGGACAGGTCAGGGCTTTCAAGAAGAAGCAAGACAACCTGATTGAAGGAAGTCAAGCCACTTAACCTAGTACAGGCCTACACCAGCCAATTACGCTGCAAAGCACAAGCAATGATTCATACACCAACAACACAATAAAGTGTGTTTTAATCCTTTTTTCATTTCAACAAGTTTGAAAAGGGCACGGATGCTCTAACCATTTATTTATCACTCCTTAAAGATATAAATGACTTCCCCTGCAGCACGGATTTCACATCAGAATGATAATAAGAATAATTACACTAAAATTAGGATAACTTCCAGATATAAAAAAAAAAACGTAATGGGCGTGATACCTCTGATGGGAAGGTAGAATGTAAAACTTGGCATCCCACATGGACTGCAGTATGTTTGAGTTGAGGCTGATGGGGGTGCTGGTTGTGTTTCTGGCTGTTTCCATGGTAACCCAAATGGCAGAAGGCAGCACTTGGCTCTCCAACTGAGTCGACATGGTGGTTTATCTGCTTCACTTACTGGTCGTTTTTTTTTTTTTCTTTCTCGCCCCCCCCCTTCCCCCCCTCCCTCCCCTCCCATTGCACTCAGTGATGTACAGCAGCAAAGCCATTCACAGTGAAATGCCACTTAGACAGTGAATCATGTTTTATCTGTGAGATAGATTCACATGTCCTCTGGGGAATCCGCCGGGGCCAGGACATAACTGTTGCTCGACAGCTTCCGAGCTGACTTAAGACAGGCTGTTTTGAAAAGTATCGAGCAATGGATGGATCAGTTTGAAACCTTATAAAATCACTGATTTCAACTTGCAGGCCCACACTGTGGCTCTTTGCCAGCCATCATCGCCCACATACTGAAGACTCAACTGGTTTTATGAGAGACTGACAGCAGGGAAACAGATGACTTTAATAGGTGATTTTGGTTCATGCAGCTGTTATATCTGATCAAATAAGGGGTTCAGTTACTCAATAGTAGTCTGAAGTGTGTGTGTGGGGGTTGCAACATAATATATGAGACTGGATTCTTGGCTTCACATTACGGCACGCATACTCCACTACACTTTCATTTTTCTCTTGTGTGTGATATTACAGTCTGTTTGAACATCAGACCGGTTCACGGGGGCCAGCTATCTTTAGAGGCGAGGGCCGCGGCAGCAACTGCAGAAAAGGATCTTCACGTTCTCTTTCCAACAGAGAACGCTGTCGTGCTCGTGCCCTTCGCTTTCCAATCCTGTGCTCGTCACGTTGTGCGGTTGTTATGGTTACGTAACAGCGTTGGTGTTATGTGATGCAACTGTAAGACGACTGTCCTGGGATGTGCCCTTCATTTTTCCATCTTAAGCTTCAGGTTCAAACACACCTGGTTTTTCTCTGAAGTGCTGTGGCAGATTTGATTCCAAAAGCCGGTGCAGCGTCAAGCAGGCAGGGCTCAGGCAATGCAGCAGTGAACCCCCCCCCAACCCCCTCCCCAACCCCTCCTTTCATAGCCCTGGCACCACCACTGCAGCTTTGATCCCGGCACTTGAAGAATCATCCCCCATTAAAGGGAATAAAAAAAAGGGTGCTACAGATCTGTGATGATGATATTATCACGGCACCCAGCTGGGCGGTGTCACAGTGCATCAGCTGCCCAGTATAGGCTGTTCTTAATAAAGATACGTCATAGCTTCAGTATAAAGATGTAGGAAGAAGATAAAGTATTCACTCTACAGCATATGATCGAGAAAACAAACAAACAGAAAAATCCCTTCCTATTAACGCTGAGTAGATGCTTTCAAATTAGATCCTCATGAATTCTGATTTCTCCTCAATACAGGTCAAGAAGAACTTCTCGCCCGAAGGCATTTTCGCGCCAACGGGAACAAAACACTAATCTGAATTAAAATCTCCCCATGAAGCTCTTGACTGTAGGTTGTTTCCATCTGGAGTCGTGACAAGCAGCCGCTTTGTTCAGCACGTTACAGGTTACATCACTTTACTCTGTTGCAGAGGATGCAGAACAGTAAGTGCAGCCAAAACATCGTAGCCCAAAGGTGAAACGCGCTCTCCACTCAGATTGTGGCATATGCAGTCGCCGGAAAACAGGATATTCATGGCTTTCAACAGGCACAGATGCAATGTGACACGTAGCGTGCCTGCAAAACAGAACTTGATTCTTCCAACTTCAAACAGTCTGCTGGCAGTGAAGACTGGTGTGATTGGGAAAGCATCCATATTAAATTCATAACGCAATAATTGATTAAAAAGTATGACCCGACACAATATACTCTATTGTTGGGTTTGGCCTGAGGTTATCCTGAATTTATAATCCTTTCTTTCTTTCTTTTTTTAGATTTATTTTTGGCCTTTTTATGCTTTTTTTAGAGAGAGAGAGAGAGAGAGAGAGTGGGGAATGACACGTGGGAAAGGAGACACAGGTCAGATTCGAACCTGGGCTGCCCGCCCGGAGGACTCCATCCTCTGTCCACGGGGCGCTTACACTAACCGATAGCTGCCAGAGCCCCAGTTGTAATAATTTATAATATAGGTTACTCTTAAATGGATATCTTTGATGTGTGTCAAATTTAACTCAAAATGGCACTTTTGAATTCAAGAGTCCTGCGGAGGGACTCTGCTTTTGGTAGAAGCACTGCATGTATCGTAATCCATGGGCAAACAGTAGACTACACATAATGAAAATCAAATGGACTATCAAAATTGACAGGAATCATGATAGAAATGAAGGGCAGAGTCGGGTAGAGCAGCTCATCTTCACTCTGTTAGCCGCTCCCTGCTTCAGTGATAACTAGGGATAATCCTATACAATTCAAATATATGCTAAGTTTATTTGAGACTAGTCGACTTCTGGGAAGAAAACATTGGAAACAGTCAAAATTGCATATCTCAAATTTATTCAACACAGCTAAACTGTCCAAAAACTGCCCGTTGCCAATTTAACTGCTATTTGAAAAAGTTCAGCACATTCTTTAAAAACAAAATTGACGGCTATTTTAAGCTGCTTAAACGTGGGACACTTTGCAATGTACGTTACTCTGTGGGTAAAATATGCCAAATTGGTTTGTGGAGTGTAGCTACCAGCCTTCAGTCCTCCTTGCAGATTAACATCCATGTCTGTGATGAATATGGTTAGGTTGGCATGTGATCAAGTGTGACAAGGTGTCACCCGTCCACTGTGCTGGTTTACATCCAGGCATTAGAGTGGGTACAACAGAGCAACAGATCCTGCTAATGGCAGATGGCTGTAGCTCCTTTTAACCAGCTTTGCAGGTCTACATTGATTAAACACGAATAATTGGTTTAACCAACCAGAACAGAACCCTGAGGGACACCACAGGACAGGGTTTTGTACGGATTCCAAAAATTAACCAGCAGTAACTGAAAGTGTTCTGCCTGACAAATGTGAGGAGGAACAAGCTAACACGCTTCCATAGACACCCACCCAATTGCTGAGCCTGTGAGTGAGGGTGACAACTTCTAATTTACTAATCAAACCCCAAACGTCACTTGTGATAACGTATGTGTTATAGGCTGAACCACTTTGAAACAATGCTGTCTGCAGGCCAGCTGAAAGATGATCTGTTGTATGCTGTTTTTTTGATATTGGAATAAGAATAGATATCACACTTTACTTGATCTGATTTTAAAACTGAATGTTTTGCAAGTTGCGTTTCAGGTTAGCCTCTCTCCTCGCCCCACGTCGTTTACTATCATGAAGTGATGAATTACCTGAAATTAGTCCTTGCAGTTCCTTCAAGTGTCAGAATGTATCCTACTAGATCCACCGTGGCAGCACATATTGACCTGCTGTTTCAGTGCAACAAACAAAAATGGATTCATGGGGACACGAGCTGACTTTCTTCGGGGCTCATAACATTAGTATATCAGATCGTCTGGCATGAAGTGTTGTGACCTCAGTTCAGGCGATAGCTTGAAAACAGCATCACATACAGAAATGATTTAGGTGCCGTGGTGTTGTCTGCAGGATTATCTTCCCTTGCTCCCATCATCTCACTGAGCTGGCACTCTTGTATTAATCTGAAATGCTGCTCTTCCATTCACACATTATTGTTGTGTTTTTACCTGCTGGGAAGTGCCCAGCACGCAGCTAAACAGTCGGCTGTGAATACACAAAGCTCACACTGTTTTGTTG